TACTAGGTGTGGAGGATTACAGGAAAGAGAACCCTCCCTCTCTCCTTGGTAATATAGAATACACTGGAACAACCTTCCATCCTCCCTCACACATCTCAACCTGCGTCATAAATTGGTTACCAAGCCTGATATTCCTTCTTATTTCGAAGGTATCTATTTACCTTAATAAATAACAAAGAAATCAGTATATTTACTTCACATATTTTGGTCTTTGAAACTAATATTTCAAACTCATTCTTAAATATTTTAGATAGTCATGAATCTAGAAAAGACATTGAGAAATAGGTTTCGGTTCAAACAATTAGCAGATGGTACTGATTCTTTTTATGAAGCTTATCAAGAATATATGTACTTTATTTTTTCTTCAGTGTCTATTTTAGAATAAAAATTTGATCACATCTTGACAAGGTTACTATAAAAATAATTATAATAATTTAATTATTTTATATAAAGAAAGCTGATCAAGCAACTTTAAATTTTTTATGGACTCGTTTAATCGCCTAAAGGAATGAAAATTAAATTAACACATAGAATAAACTGTGAAAAAATTTTATTCAATTTTGGATTATACCATATTTAATCTCAATTAGAGTCTATAAAAAATAATAATTTGAAAATTAACATATAATATATATAATTGACAGGTTAGTTCATCTTTACCTAATGGAGAGTGGTGTCCTCTATGTTGCTCGTGCGTTAATATTTAGTCTGTGCGTGTACAAACTCTAATCCTGTGGTACTACATCGGCTATTATTTGAGCTTAAGTAGTCTTTGAGTACAAGGCCGTCATTCTAACCTAATCTAATCATTGCATAAGTTCGAAAAGTCTGAAACGCAGCGGCTAAGAACGCCATTGCTATTACTAGAATTACTAGAATGCTATTACTATTACTAAATCTGTAATATAATGAAGACGAAGAAAAGATTAATGTAGATCAATTTCTTAGTTGACACCAATCGCAATTAGTTAGTTTTATTAACAGATTTGAATATATTTTGAAATTTTTTTTTGGCAATTACTACGTATATTTCGATATTATTTTTCTCTTATATTTTTAAAAATGAAAAAGTAAAATAAAATAAATGTAATATCGTAGATATAAAAAACTAGGTCAAGTAGTCAATTTCGTATTTACAAAATGAAATAATCGAAAATTCTTAAAATCAACCGCTAAAAACATTTTCTTTTCTATATTTGCAGAACGCTAACTTATATGATTTCAAAAGGGAATCATCGTCCCAGCTGTTCGAAATATAAAATCTGAAGTAAAACTAAATATATCAGTCCCAGATCTAAACGAAGATGATGTCGTAAAGACTACGAGTTCAACGGCGGTAGCAAGTCAGCAAGGGCAAAATCTTTATCAGTAGTGTACAGCTACGGCTGTTAACTGCTAAAGATAGCGCACCTCCGGCCGTTCGGCTTCTTAATACAGTAAGTTATTTTATTATAGTATTTTTATATGACGACTTCGATTAGATTTTGATTTTAATGAGATTATTTTTTTATTGCCTTCAGGATGTCTCGTACCATCACCGAGACATTACCAGCACGTGTTCGTTTGCGTGGCATGACTACTTCAAATACTTCACCAAGTGCAGCCGACGGAAATGGTGGGAAGGGTGGTGGTGGTGGTGGTGGTGGGAGTAGCAGCGGTGGAGCAGCTAGTAGTAGCGGCTGTACACGTTCCTGTGGCGTCCATAGTACCACAGGTGGAACACGGGCGACGATTACCTTGACAAGCAATTCCGCAAATGCATCAACATCAAGAAATCAACGACATCGCTCACGAAAGAAATGCTGTTTCTGTTGGTGTTGGTGTTGTTTCTGCACATGGTAGGACATTGTTTTATTTTAACCTTTTATATTGTAATATTGCAAAAATAATGGAATTAATAACTTTCATTTCTCATTTTTTTTATTTATTTTCATGTATAAAATTTTACCGACTAAAGGGAGAGATGGTAAGTGCAATAGCAAGTTTTCACTTAAGAACACAACAATTTTAACACAATTATTTTGTAAGACTTGACTTAACTCATACGCTCTTTTCAAATATCAATCATACGCACTGTCGGCCGGTTCCTTTTAGTTATAAACATTTTAAGAGACTGAGAATGAGAATATCAAGTTATTGCATTGACTTTAAAAGGACAAAGATGGATATCCTTTTAATGTTAAAAGTTGTTAGAGATTCGATTAAAATGCTTTTGAATGTGTTAGGGGTGTACTAATAAAATTTGTCATACTTTATTGAAGACAATATAATATTCTCAATTCAATTAAAAAATTCTAATACATTTACTGAGTTTATTGAAAAGCAATTAAATGTAAAATCGAGCTGACAATAGCAGCGTATCCACGATAGTGTTAAGGGGGTTACACTGAAAAATACACCCAATTTTTTGTAGTGTATTTTCTTTAGATTATATATTATTCAGTGGAAGTATTATTATAAGCAAGGCAGATCTATACTTACATCCTCTGTGACAACACAACATATTGACAAAGTTTATATATAAATTTAAATTACAGCATTATAAAATGAAGTTTAGTTAATTGCCCTAATTGAGTTCTAATAAAAAAGGAGTCATATTTCTTTAAAACACTTAATTATCTTAAAATTACAAAGGTTTAATTTATAAAATATATACCTATACTTAGGAAAATGATTTTTTATCTTATTGAAAAGAATATACATAAAGATACTTTCGTATCTTAAGCAAAAGACTTAAGGGGTTAAGTCTTTAAGTGTTGTGCAAATGACGTTTGTAGACTTAAGGATTCTATTTAATTACTTTATAGGTCACTGCAAGCTGTGTAATCATGGCTTGCAATTAAAGATAATAGGCGAAGGCTTTTAAATACAGTAATAGACACTATCTATATATGTTTTCCAAAATATAATTTTTATTTATTTTTTAATATTTAATCAAATATTAATAAATAATTTAGAGATACAGATCTAATGGTGAATTCAAAAAAAATTAATCATAGTATGAATTGAGGTTTCTGCTAACTTAACACATCTTTGTGTTCATAAAATGCGAATTCAATGCATATTAGTGGCAAGTCCTGATATTAATGAATATATTATTTTAATTTTAGTTTTAGATATTGTCATAATATAGGAATTAATAATTTTGTTTCTCTATTATTATTTTTATAAACCAAAATTATTGCTTAAAGGGTAAACTGTTAAGTGTGATTGAACATTTTTTGTTTAAAACAAAACAAATAATATTATTAATATGAGGAACCCCTCTATTTTGCTTAGTCACATATTTTATCGATACAGAATTTGGTCCTCTAGAAACCAAATTTTTCTTCAACATTTGCATGTCATCTTTACCTAAACCATGAGAATCACAAATTTCTGTCATTATCCTTTCTTTGACAATAATAATTTATATGTAATAATAATTATATTATAATAATATAGTAATATGACTATGTATATTTTATATTATAATTTCATATAAAAATATAATAATTTTTTAATATATTCTCAGACGCATATAGGGTTACAGTTTTATCTCTAAGTTCTCTAAAACAAAATTTTACGTTGTTTATTAATATTTAGTTTCTGAGTGTCGATAATTCTATTAAATTTAGAAAAATATCATAAGATATATATTTCTATATTACTATATATTTAAAATATATAGTTTTCATATTTTGGCAAAATAATTTTGTTAAAAAAATATGGAATTAATATAAATTAGTTTCAAATGGTAATATCTTTTTTATTTATAATTAATAATAATTATAATAATTATTAAGAAATAAAAAAGTGAATTAACTATTTCAATATTTCTTTTTATTTATTCAATACTGTCAATATATGTTTTTCAAAATTATATTATATTCACAATTATTAAAACATAATCTTTATTTAAATTCCCAATACACATAATTTGATAAATTTATTTTTATGTTGTAATATTATAATAACATTGGTATTAATATCTTTTATTTTTCTATTTTTCTGTTTGTCAAATGCGGATTCGATGCGATTTAGTCGCAAATGGTAAATCACTTTTTATTCATCTAATGTTTTAAAAATATTATTTTATTTAATTTTTTATTTGTATTTTGTTGTAATGTTGTAAAAAAAATATTGGAATTAATAATAACTTTTATTTTTCTAAATTTATTTTCATGTACAAAATGAATTATCCAAAGGTTACAGTGGTAAGTGCAATTAAAAATTTTTGCTTAAGAATAAAATAATTATTTTATAAAATTTAACTCCGACACTTAAAAATGTCACTCATACGCACTGTTGGCCGGTTGGTTGTAGCTTAACAGTTCCAAAGACTGTAAATCTAATATTAAATCAACTGCGTTTGACTTCAAAATGACTAGAATTTTTTTTTTAATAGTAATAGTTATTGAAAATTAATTTTGTTTATTTTTAGAAGAGTGAGAGGTGGCCTAATGTAATTTGTCGTATTAGTTACTAGAAAATATGATATATTAAGTTTAATAAAAAAAACACTCAATCATTTTAGAAGTGTTTTGAAAAGCAGTTGAGTATAATATGGGAGTAATAATGTATTTTTGTGTATTTAAATTAAAATTTAATTAAAATTACAACTTAATGGTGTTGAAAATATTAAATATAGGTTAAGTAATAGTTTCAGTGGAGTTGCAAAATAAAAACGCAAAAGCCATAGGTTAATAAAATACTAACATATCTTTTGAAACTACTAATTGTAGAATATTAAAAAATATAGCAAGTTGAATATGATTGTATTTTAAATTAAAAATATATAGTACTATGACTGAACTATTAAAAATATAATGTACTGATCAATTTGAATTGATATTGTGAAACAAGAAAGTCACATATTTAGACTGTATTCTATTTACATAGGATATCTTAATAGCACCAAGCTATTGATAATATGGTTTAAATAAATTGAAAATCAGAAAAGTTTATTAGTTTTTAAGGTTATTGCGATGAAGTTTAATATTAGAGTAGCTTGAAAAAATTTATTGCAATTGCACAGTGCCTCATTAGTACTTCAACAAGTACAAGAACTACAGACTTACTGAAATCTAAACGTTTTTTGTTTTTATTCTTGTTTCATATAGGTCATAAGGTTTAAACGATTCAGGTTCTATTTAGTATAAAAATAATCCATTTTCTTATAGAATGAAATAATATTTTTATGAAAATAAATAAATAAGAATGGGTTATATTACCTTTTGTTTATCTAAAATCATCTAAATTTTATACTAATTTTTTTTTTTATGTTATTATATTGTTACAATAATATTGACATTAATTACTTTTGTTTTTCCATTTTTTTATTTTCATGTACAAAAATTGTTACCAAAAGGATTTCTTGGTAAGTGCAATTAAAATGTTTACTAAAGAACAATATCATTTTAATACATTTATTCTGTGAAATTTTAAACTTACATTCAAATAAATCAATCATACGCACTGTTAGCAAGTTGGTTATGGTTCAGCACTTCAAAAGGTTGCATATGTAAAACTAAATAAATTGCATTGGCTTTGTAAGGACAAAGATGCATATCCTTTTAATGGTGAAAGTTGTTAGAGATTCAATTAAAATGTCAGAAGTGCACAAATAGAATTTGTTGCAATAAATCGTTGACAATTTGATATGCCACCCTCCATTGAAAAGTTCTAGTACATTTAACGAGTTTGTTAAAAAGCAGTTAAAAAAACGGAAATACTTATTTCTTCAATAATATAATAAAATTGTTAAAAAAAAAAGATTCAACTTTAACTAGTGAATTAGTAAATGTTGATTGTTTAATGATATCATTGAGGTTACAATGTTAAAAAGGAGGAGCTACCAAAATGTTGCTCCTAATGAGCTGTTAAGCAGCAGTATTTAATTAAAGTGGTATTTGGTAAAAATTTTGGTTTAAATAGCCAGCTACTTGAGAATTAAAAATGGTTTCTATTTAAGATGTTTTTTAATGAAATGTATTTTAGAAGAACTAAAATGCTTTATTACTATTTATGTATGTTGCACGAATATTTTAACATTTAAAAGAACATATTAAAATAAATGCTTGTATTTTGAGTAAAAGCATATAAGACCTAATATATAATTAAATTAGTTCAGTTTGAATCAGTTTAAAAGTTATATCCGTCAGAGGTTGGTTATATCTATAGTTGATTTAAGAAAAAGGGTAAAACATTTATAATCACATGATTTTAGTAAGAAGAAGTGTTACAGAATTATATCACAACTTTTCAATGATTGTTCAGCATTAAACGTTATTCTATAGTGTACGAGTAATATTTAGTTTATGATACAAGCTTATAGCTTATATATATAAAACCTATTTATAGGTTACACAGTTATATATTATATATTGAATATATAAAATATTTACGTGTGGTACTAACTAAATAATAGTCCCATTTCTTTGCTGGCTTGGTCATGTCATGAAATGGAACGACTACGCTCCAGCAAAAAGCTATTTAAAGCGGTAGTTGGAAGAAGAAGCTGTAAAAGACGGTATATGTCTGTTTGGTGGAGTGATCAAGTTCTGGAAGCAATAACCGTATTTTGGGTATAAGACTAGAGAGGACACACACGTAACAAAAGCGCCTGAAAGGATATACTGCGTTGGGTAAAAAGATTGTTATAGACATTTAGGTAACTAAGGAATTATAGTGGTCTCTCTTCGTTCTAGTAAACAAGCGTATTAGGAATTCTCTTGATGAAGGCAAAAGTGAATTTCCCGAAATACGTAGAGAAATATACTAAAAACAACAATCGAATTAAAAGTTAAAATTCTGAAAAAATAAAACCGACTTTCAGCATTAAGTGTTCTATTTGTGCGATAAAATTATTATCAAAGCATTGATTTCGATCAGAGATTCATTACTAGAATTCGTTTACATAGTTTAGGTGTAATCGCATCATCATGAGATGTTTCTTAGCACTTTGAGATTATTTACTGTTGAAGGTAGAAGTTGTAGAAATAGAACGCTATTTTCTTTCCTTTATCTCTATAAAAGCTGTTACTAAAACTGTATTTTTAAAAATCTGGTTTCTTCTTTTTTATATATATATATTCTGTTTTATTCATTCTATTTATCCTTCCACTGTTTAACGTTCCATACCTAAAAGCAATTTTGAACTCTTGAAAGAAAAAGCATTAAAAAAGTTCTTACGCTTAAGCACAAACTCACAAACTCCACACACAGCGCAACCGACACAAAAATTAATTAAAATGTGTATTATTTTCATGATATTAAATGATTTACAAAAACAATTGCTAATCTCTCAGCTGCATATAAATAAAACTCTAATACATTTAGTTGCTTCTGATTTGTACAGAACTATGCAAAAGAAACCCGAAAAAATCAGGCTGAGTGGGAAGAAGAGAATTCGCCTTTTGAGAGAAAAATGAAGCAGTCATGCTTTCACATTGGAAAGCAAAAACAAACAAAAACAAACGACAACATTTTTCTCTAGGAAGAAACAATATTGCTTCCATTGTCGTGTTTTTGAAAGCTCTTCTGCTTTTGCAAACATTTCTCAATAAAATATTTGATTTTGATTTTTGCTTCTGTTTCTGTTTCTATTTTGTTTTTGTTTTTGTTTGTAGCACTAAATTATCTCTTAGAATATACACAAATAATTGTACACTCAAACGAATTCATACGCACACACAGCCATACATAAAAACATATGTGCGCCATTCTAGATTCGCCATTCCTAAGCACAATTCCTTTTATTTGTTGTACAATTCGACAATTCGACAATTCGACAACTCGAGCATTCATTAACAGTTTATAAATATTTAATTTAATTATTTGTTTTTACATATAAATTCATTTATGTTAGTATGCATATAAGTGTGCGTTTTCTTCTTCTTGCTTGATTTTTAGTGAGCAATTAAATATTTACATGTGCACATTATGGCACATGTGTATGTGTGTGTGTGTGTGTGTGTATGTTATTAAGCGTTTTTCTTCATTACATTTGCTTGTTTTGTATTTATCTGCATTTTAATGTAAATATCGAAATATTTTCCTTATATATAAATAATTGAAAATTGTGAGGTATAAAATCTTGCAAATTTTTGTTACATATTTTATTCATTCCCGTATGGAATTCATTGAGGAAAATTGTTGCTACTTGTATTAACGGTTTTGTTGTTGTTTCTTTTTTTTCATAAGCAAACAAAGGAATTTTCTCTCAGTGTAGCGATGCAGAATGGTTTGACTTGACTGTTTAGCACTCAGAGGTTAACAGTTTGTTGCTTAACTTACTTTCAAATAAACATACGAAATAATAACTAATTATTATTAATAATAAATAAGTAATTTTGGTATTTATATTACAAATTAATGTATTTGAAATTTTTTTATTTTATTTTGCACCTTAAGTTTTTAAATTAGTTTTTTTTTTTGGAAAATTTTTTTTATATACAATTCTTTTTAAAATTTTTTTAAAATATTAATTTTTTTTTACATTAATTTTTTTTTAGATTAATTTTTTTAAACAAAATTTTTTTAAATAATTTTTTTTTAATTTATCATATATGGATTATTCTTTTATAAATGGTATAGTTTATGACTCCATCACCTCACCACGTCTGACAAAAAACTTTTCTTATGAATTCATTTTTTTAATTAAAAGTACACATGTTTCGGGAAAAATCTTTTAAGTTAAAGTATATATTTAAGTTTCTAAAATACTTCTAAAAATAGTGCTATCGAAAATATTGTAGTTCTTTAATAAAATTTTATAATGTATCTAAATCAAAATAAAAAATTAAAATTTTCGATGCATATTTAGAAGAAAAAAATTTATTCGGAAAAATTTATTTTTTTAAATAAAATATCATATTGAATATAAATCAAAAATAAAAAACTAAAATTTATTACGAAAATTTTTTTTAATAAACATTAAAATAATCTTATTCATATATAAACAATTTCAATTCAATCTACTTAAGTTTCCTTACAATTCAAAAAGTTTTCAATCTCTATCATTTATAGAGCTGGAGATATGACCATTTAAAAATTGTTCTGAAATGCAAATTCTCAAAACCTCATGGGTCCATATCTAAGAAAAATTTTAAAAATTGTTTAAATTATTTTTAAAATATTTAATTTTAAATATTGAAAATAAAATATTTGATTAATTATCTTCACAATGATAATTGTAAAAATTAATTTTTCCTTTTTTT